AAGAAGGAAGCATCTGGGTCCTCATTTTCCTGACCTCGGAAGGACGGAAGGCTGAGTCAATCTTGAGTTGGTCGGGATCGAACTCCTGGCAGTGGACAGAGTCAGCTTGCAATGCCTCATTCTAACTACTGCACTTTCAGGGATGGAGGGAGGGAGGGAGGGAAAGAAGGAATGAATGAATGAATGAATGAATGAATGAAGGAAGGAAGGAAGGAAGGAAGGAAGGAAGGAAGGAAGGAAGGAAGGAAGGAAGCATCTGGGTCCTCATTTTCCCGACCTTGGAAGGACGGAAGGCTGAGTCAACCTTGAGCCGGTCGGGATCGAACTCCTGGCAGTGGGCAGAGTCAGCTCACAATGCCTCATTCTAACTACTGCAGTTTCAGGGAGGAAGGAAGGAAGGATGGATGGATCTGGGTCCTCATTTTCCCGACCTCGGAAGGATTGAAGGCTGAGCTGGTCAGGATCGAACTCCTGGCAGTGGGCAGACTCAGCCTGCAATGCCTCATTCTAACCTCTGCGCCACCAGGGCTCTAACTTAACAACTGCTGCGATTCACTTAACAACCGTGGCAAGAAAGATTGTAAAACGGGGCGAACCTCAACCGACGTCTCGCTTAGCGACAGAAATTTTGGACTCCATTGTGGTCGTAAGTCAAGGACTACTGTACTGGATAAGAGCAGACCTAATATCCAGATCAGGCTTTAGGGCCATCTAATCCAGCCTTCCGCTTATTGCTTGGCCCAATTTCTTCCACTTGGAAGCTTTCAAGTTTGGGCAAAGAACCCACTAGGTGTTTTTTGGACCCCAATGTCTAAATAAATAAAAGGCTCCCCCAAATCTTTAAAATATGCTCTTTACGAGGGGGGGGCAGGTCTGCACCCACCTCCTGCCAGCTCTTCTCACCCCTTAAATGTGGCGCCACCAACGCCAAGTGGTTTTAAAGAGCAGTTAACGTGGCACATCCCAAGTATTTTGGACTGCAGAGTCCATAACTCTCTCGTTGGTCGTGCTGGATAGGGATTATCTGGAATTAAGTCCTATTTGACTGACTTCCCGGGAGACGTGAGTGACGACTGCGCAGTGAAATATAAAACAAACCAAACAGACAAGGAAACAAAAACTTTGAAACGCTGCCAACTCCGACCGCTGGTTTTCCATGCAACCGACCCGGCCAGACTTTAAAAGGTTAAGAAAAAGGAGGTCTCGGCTAAATCTGGGAGCAGCAGATTCAAAGGATAAAACCACAACCGGATATACGCAGAATTGCTTGTCAGAACCCCTTTTATAAAAAAATATATGCACGTAAAATAGCTGCGTGGCCTCTTTTCTTGGCCCCTGACTGGCTCACTCTGGATCTCCAGTGGAAGGTGTATAAACAGGCCCATCAACGTCTGCAAGATCAGATAACTAAGCACAGAATCACAGTGGGATTGGTCCTCTCCAAGAGACCATGAGTTTAGATTACTCCACCAGTCCACTTCCTTCCTTCCTTCCTTCCTTCCTTCCTTCCTTCCTTCCTTCCTTCTTTCCTTCCTAGCTGCCCTTCTATCCTGGCTGCCCTTCTTCCCTCCCTCCCTCCNGTCGGTCTTGGAAAAGTAACAAGGATTTGATGTGAAGGAAATTTTAATATTCTTCTGTCTCCCTCCCTCCCTCCTTCCTTCCTTCCTAGCTGTCCTCCCTCCTTCCTCCCTCCCTCCTTCTCCTTCCTTCCTTCCATCCATCGTAGCTGCCCTCCCTCCCTCCTTCCTGCTTTCTTTCCTTCCTAGCTGTCCTCCCTCCTTCCTCCCACCTTCTCCTTCCTTCCTTCCTTCCTTCCTTCCTTCCTTCTTTCCATCCATCCATGCATCCATCCATCCATCCATCCAAGCTGCCCTTCCTCCCTCCCTCCTTCCTTCCTAGCTGTCTTCCTTCCTTCCTTCCTTCCTTCCTTCCTTCCTTCCTTCCTTCCTTCCTTCCATACATCCTAGCTGCCCTTCCTCCCTCCCTCCTTCCTTCCTTCCTTCCTTCCAGCTTTCCTTCCTTCCTGTCCTCCCTCCTTCTCCTTCCTTCCTAGCTATCCTCCCTCCCTCCTTCCTTCCAGCTTTCCTTCCTTCCTCCCTAGCTGGCCTCCCTCCCTCCCTTCCCTTCCCTTCCCTTTTTATTTATATCTCCATGAATCTTTGACCTAGGCTGAGGCAATGAGTCATCTCTCTCTCTAGCTTTTATTCTGTTTCCCCCAAAGAACCGCACAGCCTGGCCTTTGAGTCAACAAACCAGGGCTGTTCAAGCACCAGACAGAGAGAGACACTCTGCCCCCCCCCAACCACCACCCCGGGACTCTCAGGAAGGATAAACCAGCCCCGATTTTCCATGGCGCACGGGGACTTCCGATCTGCGGTTTTTGCAAAAGGCCTGCCGCCGCGCATGGGAGCGTGCACCAAGGGCTGCCCACGAAACCCCATGCAATTAGCTCTCCCACGTGTATCCACCACCAGAGATCTGTAGCCAAAGACGGGGTTGGTCATTCTGAATCACGGCTGGAAGCTGGCTCTCCTCTCTGTAACCACGCTCTGAGTTTCTGTACTTTATTTTATTTTATTTTATTTTATTTTAAATCAGAACAAACTGACTTCACCCTTCCCTTTCGGCTGCTGAACAGATGATTCACAACAGGTTGTCAGTGAACCTTGTCAGAAGTTATATACTGTTTATGAATGTTCCAGGGACACACAAGCACCTTGGCCAGTTCCTGGGAAGAGAACTCGTACAGAACTAGGCCCAGATGTAAACCCACGTGTATTTCTGCACACTAGGTTGGCTGTAGAGCAGGGCTTTTCAACCTTTTCACCCACTGTGCCACTTTTAGGATACGGCAACATCCGAGGACCACCAGTCGCCTAGCAAGGGGTCAAAAACTTGATGACCCCCCCCCAAAAAAAGGGAAAAAAGTGATAAAAGTGCAGGTCGTCCTCGACTTACAACAGTTCGCTTAGTGACTGTTCGAAGTTACAATGGCACTGAAAAAAGTGCCCCCCAAGCCACAGCCGA